GGCCCCCCGCCACTGCGAGGCTGGCCTGGCGGGTCCCTGCGTCTCCCTGGGCCGGCATGCTGTCTGGTACACCATGGCGGGGGCTCAGGGCAGGGGTAGGAGGCTTCGAACTGAGGCTGAGTGGGGAGGACCAGACTGAAGCCAAGAGACCCTCGCGCCCACGAGTGACCCTCTCACCCCTGAGCAGGTCTCAGCCCATGAGCTCGCTGAACTGCCTAAGGGACTAAACAGGTCTGGAACTGCCTTGCCGAGAGGAGAGAGCACCAGCTTCGAGTCCAGATCGGAATTCTGGTCACTAGGACTGTGGGTGGCTCCCCTCCCCTCCTTGGTCCCAGTTTCCGCTTCTGAGAAAGGTAAGGCTTTGTACAAGAGCACCAGGTGCATTCTAACTTAGCCTGCCCACGTTCTAGAAGATTCCCAAGGTAGAGGGAAAGGGTGTGGGCCATTGTTAGCCCCGAGACTGGCCGGCAAGCAGAACCCCCACATCAGACGACTTGAGCCCCGAGAGTGGCCAGCTGGACCCCACCTGTTGGAATAACGATGTCTGGAATATTCTGAGCACCACCTGCTCTCCCGACTTCACTCACGGACTTCTAGAACACTCGGCCCCAGGCGCAGCTCACCTGTGTCTGCTGAGTGGTTTGCCCAGACCGTGGGCCCCGCGAGGAGTTCTGCTATGTACCTTGCTCTGAACCCAGTGCCCACCAAATACTGAAGGCTGGGCAGGTGCCTCGATTTACCCTAGGTGACACTGAGGCCCAGAGAGAAAGGTTGCTTGCTCCAAGGCAGAGACCACTGTGCAGTTTGCGGGGCTCAGTGGGAAGTTCAAAGCTGAGGCTCCATATTCAAAACACTAAGAGCCTTCAGCTCTGCGAGGGTCTTCTGCCAGTGGACCTGGTGGCCACGTGCCCTCGGAGCTGGCCCTGCTGTGAGCAGGACTGGGGCCTGCGCCGGGAAGGGCGAGGAGCTGGGTGTGACAGCGGGTCTCCCGGCAGTGGGGTAACAGCACCATCTCTGTCCCACGAAGGACATGTCTGATGGGAAGCTGGGTGATTTGACCTTTCTGGAAAGAGTCTTTGTGATGGAGCTGAGCTAAGGATCTCGAGGAGAGATGCCCCTGGAATAGGCTGGTGTCCTTAGAGGCCAGGAGGGCAGAGGGCAGGGGAGGAAAAGCCACGTGGCCATAGAGACGGACGAGTATGCAGCCACAGCCGGGCGTCTGCAGTCCCCGGAGGTTGAAAGCGGCAGGGAGGGTGCTCCGCAGCAGCTCTGAGGGGTGGGGCCTGCCCCTGACTGCAGGCTGCGGCCTCCAGGGCTGCCCCTCCGGTGAAACGCCTGGATTGGGATGCTTCGTGGCTGGCTGCAGGGCGCTTAGCGCAGCTCCCAGCATGGGTGTGGAGGTTTAGTCAGAGCCTGTGGGTAACGATCCTGCCTTTGAATGCAGAAATAAAACATTTCCCTCTGGAGCAGAGAACCTGTGGGTTTAGCAGCCCACGCTGACCCACATCCTCTGGTCCCAGCGCGGCCCTGCAAATAGCACTGCGCACTGGGCCTGGCTTCCCTGTCTCCCGGGGCTCCTAGTAGTGCCCCGAGGCAGAGGCGTTGGCACGGAGACAGAGGAGTAGATTCATGCAGGACTCACAGAGCAGGGCCTTGCCCAGGCTAAGCTCCCGCTGAGCTACCCATTGGTCCTTACCATCTGACTCAGTCTTTCCGATTTCCAGAAGTTTATCCACCCCCCAATTAAAAACATCAGAAAGCAAAGATGTTCAACGTGGTATTAGCTACATATGCAACAAGTCTGCGACAGCCCAAACTAACTCCTGGCAGAATCCAGTGCAATCACTCAGGAGCTGTGGAGATAAAACGCAGCCTCAGGGACCAGCAGATGGCGTGATGGCTACGTCGCTGGACTCCCATATAGTTGATGGTGGTTCAAGTCCCAGATCTGGCGGCTTAAAACTCACACCGGCTGCATGTGTGTGCATGCCCCAAATCCCGAGAGAACAGGGAAGAAGGGACTGCGTCGTGGCCATCTCCTGGAGGGGGAGAGGTGATTTCTCACTTTCTGTCCCTCTGTCTCTCCAGCGAGCACAAGTGCCTTACAGCAAAATTCTCTTTAAAAAAATTAAAAAATTGGAAAAAAAAAAAAGTGCCGAACACTAACTAGAAAATACATAAAAGGCAGCTACAGTGTGCACAAAGCCGCACGTGGGGCAGCCCGGGAGAGAAGGCGACACAGAGAGCCGAACTGCCACAGGGCCGGCGGACTGTTGTGATGCGCTTGAATGTGACATGCCCCTTAAGGAGAAACATGCTGGAGGCCGGCCTCCGCGGTGGGGGGCCTAGGTCACCTGGGTCCAGGGCAGAGCACAGGTGTGGCGGCCCTCCCTCCCCACCACGCCCGCGTCACACCTGAGCCTCTGCTGAGGCCGGTGCAAAGGGGTGGGCCGGGCCTCGCAGCAGGCCGGAAGTTGCAGGAGCCATCTCCGGCTAGAAGCTGCACGCCCCCTGTGAGCACTCAGCCCTGGAAGGCTGCCCTTCTAAAAGCTCCCAGCCCCAGGAGGCCTAAGCTGCCCGGGAGGGCAATTGTTGGGGGAGGCAGGGTGGGACCCGAGAAGACCTCATTTCCCTCAGGTCCCTGGGGAACCCCCAGCCTTGGGCGGAAGGAGAGGGGTCCTGCAGACACCTCCAGGGGCCTGGTCCCTTCACCAAAGATGTCCTGACACAACAGCTTACGAGCTGGACGCAGACCTGTGTCCATCGGGGAGTGAGGGGGCACACAAAAAGGCTCTATCCACAGCAGAGTATTACACAGCCATGAAGAGGAACAGAGCACAGACAGGCTCTCAGTGTGGTGAACCCAAGGACGGGTGGAGCAGAAAGCTGTGCAACCCCACTCACGCGAGGTCTCAGCGTGCGACAGACAGGAGTGAGGACGCGGATGTTGGGCCCGGGCGGGGAGAACGAGGCGTTAGTGCTTGATGGGGTCAGAGCTTTTGTTGGGGATGGCAAACTCGTCCTGAACTCGGTTGGAAGACACCTCACGGCAATGTGAACGCAGTTACCGTCACTGCGTGCCACAGTTAAGAGCAAGCTACCTTCCAGCATATTCTGTCATTCGGGAAAGTGAGTGTCCTGAACACTTTGCTCTGTGCCCGCGGGAGTCCCTAAGCTTCAAGGGCTCAGGCCTGTACCCCGAGGCTGCTCCAGGGTAGAACTCTACCCCTCGTGATGCTCATCTGACAAAGTCCCAGTCCTCTGGGCTCAGCCTGGAGTCTCAGAGGAGCCCTGGGTCACCAGGGCTGTCTGTGCACCTGCACCACCCCGCCCCGCCTTGCAGACAGCACCACAATTCTGCCTTTGCGCCAGGGCGCCAGGGTACGGAGGAGCTGTCCGTCAAAGTGCCCCGCCTTCTCCTGGCTGAGGGGCGGGAGAGATGGAATCTAGCATCAGGTGCTCTCCTGAAACTGGTTCCGCCAGCCCCAGGAAGCTGCAGGGCCTTCCTGGAGCTCAAAGCATGGGTGAGCAGCCTGAAGAGCTTTTCCCATTTCTCCCTCCTGTCAGGATTCTGGGCATGCATGTATACACGCCAGGTGTGTTTTTCAAGACACCAGGTCCAGGACTCGAACCTCACATTGAGTCAGTGAGATCCAGCCGCCTTAGCCACCAGGCCACAGGCGGCCCTCTCCTCCCTGTCTAATGAAGTGACTGAACAGTGGCAGACACCTGAGTCCTTCGCGTGGAGAGCTCTCCAGATGGGGGTCAAAAGCTGTGTTGGAATTCGATGAGGGGAACAAACCATAGCCACAGCCGTCGCGGTATGACAGCATGCTGCCGGGGCTGCGCGTGGCGCACCGGAGAGCCTGGGCTGGTCCCGCCATGACCCATTTTCCTGGTAAGGAGGCTGAGGCCCTGGTGCAGGTCACAGGGGCAGAGGCGAGGCCAGTGCCCACGCACGGGCTGTCGGATGCCCAGGCCTGGTTCCCGGCTCATGCGCGCCGCCTGTCCGAGCTGAGTGACCTGGCCTGGCGGGGCTGCCAGGTCAGCGGGCAGGCTGCGACACAGTGCTCCCAGCTCTGAGTGTCCAGGGCCTGGCTCAGGCAGTACAGGGGCCAGACCAGCCTGGAGAAGGCAGCAGAGCGGGCGAGAGGGGA